GGGTACATCATGTGCGTCAGGATTTTGCACCGTATTTCATGAGCTTGGGGTTCGATCTTGCACTGTGCATGAAATAAGCTGAAAATTCAAGTTTGGAGCCAATACTATAAAAATTTGAAATTCAAATTTCAAACACAAATTACACTCATTATTCCAAATCTCTCAATATGAAACACAAATTCTCTCAACTTTCTCTCAAACTTTCTCAAGAACTCAAAGCAAAAAACTCAAGAAGAAACTTCATCTTCCTCCATCACTCTTGCCAAAACCTCTCCCGCACTCATCGGACCTCCACTACAGTCAGCTCAACCGCCACAAAATTGGCCTACTCGCATCGTCTCTCTTGAACTGCTGCCTCCACTTCCAGTCGCTTCCCTCCGTCTTCTTCGCTCGTTCGTGCCGGCACCGACATTATCCGGCCAAGCCTTTTTGGGGTGCTCCTCTTCTTCATTTTTGATCATCTCATCTCCTCTCTGATTCACCTTTGCTTGGATAATTTCTTGAATCTTGTTGAATTAGGTGCTTATTGCTTAATTTATTTTTAGGTTAATTACTTAATTGAATTCACGAGTTGATATTAATTGAAATATTGTAAGAGTTACTTGATTCTTGATTTTTCAATGATGTTGAAGTGTGTAATTGGATGAATGATGTTTCAATCGGTATAGATCTTGAATTTAATCGGTAAAACTAATGTTGATTTTGAATACCAAATTTCGGATCTAAATGTTGATTATGAATTTTTGATGAGAATTGATTGTGTTTTCATGAGTTAACGCAACTTTTGAATCGATTTGTTGATGAATTAAGTTTTTTGACATAAAAAAACTCAAATTCGATAAGTTGCATTAACACTTGATTTATGTTGTTTGTGGCTTGAAATCGTTGATTGAATGCTGATTTATTTGTTTGCAAGCACTTGTAATTTATAAGCGACATAACTTGATATCAAGTTTGTCGAATTTTGGATCGATATTTTGTGCGGTTCATGTATTGACGACAATGTTGCCTAATTTTTAATGTTGATGCTCTAATGCTTGTTTGGAATGTGTTTCTTTGAATTTTAATTGTGATTTAATTTGTGATGCGGATACTTGATTCTGATTATGTTACCTTGTTAATTCCTAACTCGTTTTGTGACTTGTGCAAGTTTCCGAAGACTTTGTCGTGCGACACACGATGTTTGGATTATTGTTTGGTTGACTAGACTTGTATTGTGCATGGACTTTGACTTGATGCAATGGATTTTCCGCATGCGATTTATTTTCGTATTTGTGACATTGATTTTGATATTGGATGTTATTTCTGATTATTTCTTTGTTGCTTCGTGAAGCTTGCACGAAGTTTTCCGGGTTTCTCTATTTTTCTTGCTTGCTACGAACTCTTGTTCGTTTGGTATTGTTCTGATTCTGGTTTATTTTTCCACATCACATTTTCTTTTCCTTACCATGAGAAGTAGGAATAAAAATGCATGACTAGGAGTCCCTACTTTAGGTGGGAAAATATGTTTAAAGTCCTCAAAGGAGGCGATGTTTTTTTTGCAAAGTCCTCAAAATGAGGCCATGTTTATGTTTGCTTATGTTCAAAAGACCTCGACGAAGGAAAATCCTACTCCCCTCCCATTTCTAGTTTATTTTGTGCTTTCTATCGAGTCAAATAAGTGGAACAAAGAGCCCACAATCGACCCCCACGCATTCTAGTATGTGTCATTCTTAGCTAACGTCATGCGTTGATGCTTTGAATCGTGACTATTCTTGTCCATTGAGTCAAATAAGTGAAATATATGGACCACAATCTTCCCCCACACTTTGTCATTCGTTTCTATGATGTTAGCTCATGTTTCTTTAAATGTCGATGCTCCGAGTTGTTACTTGATGTCGGTGCTCGAGCAAATCAAGTGGAAAGAGTTCCTTACTTTCACTTTGAGATCCATTGACTCTTTTTTGTTTCTAGCTCGCACTCGATTTTGTTTTAGCTTTGGTTTGACTTTGTTTGTTTGCACTTGGGCTTATTCTTTCCTTTACACCTTTGTATGCTCCCTTAGGATTCACTTGTTTCGTTTCTGATGCAAGTTATACTTTAGGGTCGTAATCCATGCATGCTAACTTAGGTAGGGTTTTCCCTTTCAAACCTCAACTATAGGATCAACCATTTTATGATAACATTAGGGATAAAGCTAGATAAGTTCCCTTAGATGTATTTTCTTTCCCTTTTGCATGATTAAAACTAAAACTTCCTTTTTTTTTTGAAAATTCCAAAGAAATTAATAAAGGAAGATGTGAATCGTATACAGTTGAGTCTTGTGGGATAGAGAAAAACAATTTAGACTGAGCCTCACTCTATTTTCATTTCTAAACTTTATTATGGTTCAAATCGCAAATTCTTTTGCAATAAAAATTATAAACCAATGCAAACCTTTTTTGTCTTCAGACCTGTTTTAATCTTTAAAACCTTTTCAATAACGATGTGTTGTTTCAAAATCGAACAACTTGGAAATGGTAAGTGTGATAAGGTCCGAGCATGAGTATCTTTACGAGCTGCAACACCAATCAGGAATTACAATCCTAACCATAAGGATGTGAATGCGGCATTATCCATAAAAAACACAAAACAAATGAAAACATTGTATTCGAACTATGACGCTCTGATTCCTTAAAGGGATACATAGGTATTTGGTCGTGGGGCCCAGGCGAGCGAAACTATGTAAATATTCCTTCTTTTCCTCGTGTTTTCTTTTGCATGCATTCCCTCTTTGCATTTTTCCTTAGCTTGTAAGCCTTAGATTAGAACACACCATTTGATTAGAACAACAAGATTGGATCCTGTGAAGTACCACAGGCGTGAGGGGTGCTAATACATTCCCCTTGCATAATTGATACCCTTACCTATCTATCAATCGCGAGACCTTGATTTCACCATTCTCAGGTTTACTGGATGTTTACCTTTCCCTTCCTGTGGGATAAAAACGTTCGATGGTGAATTCATTGATTTTCTCTCGATGATTGTTCTGCCGATTGTTTCAATCCCCACCATAACATTGATTCCTGCTTGGAACCAGATCACTTCACAATATTACACTCAATCCATAGTATGAGATTGAGGCCGTCACTAGACCAACGTCCTATGAACATCACTGGACCAAATCATCCTAACAACATCACTGGACCAATGTTCTAACATATTCCATGAATGCATGATGCACAACAACACAATAAAACATGACCACTGCTAGTCAAAACACATCATTCATTTGTGTAATCATCATAATATCATCACATACTTCATAATACATGCATCCTCATCATAACGACACCAATGCATCATAGGAAACAAACATAATATTACTTCACGGCGTAATCACATCAATTCATCAAAAGAAGCATGCATCATTGTCATACCCCAGCTTTTGACCTAAGATCCCACCTTCATTTTCATTCTCATGTATCATCAAGGTCATGAGGTACATTTGGTTTTTAACCCTCTCACCTTCGAGCATTGCTTATGCAAATATTATCAAGTGTTGCGAACATCTTATCTTATGCATCACTAACAGCTAATCAAATACAAAGATGTATGTTTTGTTTCTTTGGTTTCATGTGCAGAGACAGGTCTGAATCAAGAGCATCAGGTGTTGCGCCTCAATTAGGGTTTTGGGTCCCTCAAGTGTTCAAGTATGGTGAATCATCAATTCTCAAAGACTACTTCATCAAAGTTTAGCCTTTAACCAAAAGCACAGTCAAGATTTCATCAGCACTGGTCCATATGTGCATCAATATGTCTAGGAATGTGAGGAAATATCAAATTTGTAATTCAATTCAAAGCACTTTGACCAAAAGTTAACATTTTCAAGATCAAGAACAAACGATTGTAACTTCTTCATTATTCGATATTTTTTAATGGTTATTTTTACGTATGACTCTCCTGGACGTCATCTCCAACTTATCTTTACAAGTCAAGAGTTAATTATGTGGAGAAGATCGTCAAAAATTAGAATACTTTAGAGGTAATTCTGTGGATTTTGACCTAATCTCAAAATAGTTGTGCCCAACTTCCAAGGATCATAACTTCTTCAATTCCTGACATTTTGAGGCGATTCTTTTTGCGAAGTATCACAAATAACGTTGTCTGTGAGATTTCTTCAAAGATCGAAGTCGAATTACACTTCAAAGGCCATGAAATTTACCGAAATGTTATAGGTCATGTTTTGACTTAGAATTTTCTTAACCTCTACTTTCAACTCATGTCATAATAAGTTTCTTCAAAGGCATTGTTCATTATGGTGGATTGTAGCACAAGAGCAAATAAGCGTGTGAAGTGTGCATGCGGTTGAGGATTCTTCAAATTCGTGTTATTTGTAAGTTGACGTGGATTTGAGATTTTAATCAAGAATGGATTCATTGTTGTGAAGTTTTATTTCAAGTAACCAATGCCATAAAGTCAAAGTATCCAAGTTCGTCAAATAACATCAGGGTTCTTAATTGCAAGAGTGATTCAATAAGGTTTATGAATTTGAAGTTTTGAGTAAGATACACTCCAATTTCTCGAGGATTATTTCAAGAGTGCAAGTTCATTAATGTGAATTGTTCAATATTTCAAGCATTATTCAAGACCTTTCTCAAAGTTCAACTTCATTCATCATTCACTCATTTCAAATTCAAGGACAAATTTCGATACACATTCTAATTAGAATCAAATTTGAGTATTAGAAGTTTTCTTTTTATATTTCAAGTTTGAATTTTAAAGAATCACAAAGCTTCACAATACTACATGAACCATCCAAGTTATTTGATCAATTTCAAATCATCACCATTACAACTTTATTATTTACATAGAACTTACACAAAACAGACAAGACTTAAACCTATCAAGAACTTTTGCCTTAGACCTAATCCTAAGTTCTCTTCAAGTGTTGTCTCCATCCAAATCTGCCCCTGCTCCAAGATAAACTTGTTGCCTACTGTTGTTTTCCTCTACATATAAGTCCATAAAAACAGTCCCTATCACTGGAAAAAACCTGCAATGTGCCCTGCCGAACCTGCTACAAGAAGCCAATTTCCAGCCCTGCAAAAGGTGCCAAAAGACCTTGCCATCCAGCCTGTTACATCAGTCCAAAAATGCAGTCCATACACCAAAATAGAAAAACACTACTTGCATCCAAAAAGCATAAGATCAGAAGTCTATTTTTGTTCAAATTTATCAATGTTCCCTCCTAAATTTTTAGAAATTTTGGTCTATAAAAAAAGAAGGAAGTTTGTTTAACGGGGGGACCAATATTAGGGAGTCCACGGACAGGGGAGAAAAATAACAGAGAAAAAAGAGATTTCAAAACTTTTGTTCACCAGAAACATTGAAGAAAAGAATATAGTAGTGCTGCAAAAAAACTCATCTAGAAAATTCTTCCTCCATAACCTTCCATCAAAGCTCCATCACAAGCTGTTAAGAGTTTCAAACCGAAACTATAAATATGCTTGACCATAAACCTCCTTCAATCTGCATTATCCCATCAAGTTTTAAGTCAACAATCAAACCATAAAAATGGAGAAGAAAAGAAAAGAAACTCTGTCCAAATTAAAACTCAACCTCTCTGCAATAACATTCAATCATTGATACCTGTGTAAAGACAAACACAAAAAAGCAACTCAACAACACATCATCACAAAACTCAGGAGAAGAAGAAGAAGAGGAAACAGACGAAGATGATGAGAGATTGAGAAACATACCTGTGCAAAATTTCCACGGAGTCTTTTGTTATTATTCACGATGCCATAGCTGGGTTCGCAAGAAAGCGAAGTTCTTGTTCGAAAATACCTCGATTCCCTGAGTTTCCATCTTAAAATCTTCTACTTTAATTAACAAATGACCGGGAGGATTCTTGCTATCGTAGGTAGGTTCTACAAATCGTCATGTATTTTGATGTTTTTTCTTCTTTACTATGAAGCAAATCCGCTCATGATATTGCTTCTTCCCCATATTTATGGCCTAAATACGGTTCAGTTGGGATTTAATTTGGAATCTTCATGGGCTGGGGTTTAGTTTAATGTGTGGATTTCATGTGTTACTGAGTTTTAAAGGATAATTAAAGATGATAGAAAAAAGCGAGATCAAGAGAGATTATAGGAAGTATGCGATTGAAGAGAGAACATGGGATTTGTTTGTTGGTAGATGGAAGGAAGTAGAACACGAGATCGAGAGAAACGTTTATTGTTGTTAACATCAATTTACAGAAAACAAAGCATTATATTGTTGTTGTTATTTGATTTCATGGTTAAAAGCAGAGAGATAAGAGAAAAAGCATCGATGTTTGAGAAAACAGTGAGAGAGAAAACCGAGTGAGAGAGATTATTGTTGTTGTATGTTTGATCAATTGAGAGAGTGAGGGATGTTGAGATGAAACACAGTTTGAGAGAAGAACATAGAGGAAGCTTCATTTTGTTTCGTGAATATGAGAACCAAGCGTTTTTTTTCGTGAACAGAGAGATGGTGTTGTTGTTTTCGTTCGAGATAAAATTGGAAAGGATGAGAGCAAGTTGATGATATTGGAAACATGTGAATTAGGGTGAGAGAAGAAGAGATAACATCTGTTTTAATTTAATTATTAATTGGGATAAATAATAATTAATTGATACTTTTTTCTTTTAGAAAAAATGCACCAGCTCCTCCCTTTCATATTAGTGATCTAGGTTTTTTTTAATAAGTCATTTTCTTTGGGCCTTTAAACCCAACATGACCTGAGCCCAGTTTCTCTTTATTAATTGTTTTGGCTGGTGTAGCGATAGAAATGTTTAAGACTAAGCCATTGGATTGACTTGACTCGTACAAATCAAAAATAAAAAATCGCCATCACGCTTTATTGTTTCCAAAGGAATGGGAAAAGAGCGAATAACCCAAAAGAGGGGGAAAGATTTAAGGTAAGGGGGTTGGTTATGCAAAGAGAAGGTATTAACACCCTAAACATCTACGGTACTCCACAGGAACCTCTTTGTAAAAATCTGTATATTTTGGCTATAAAATGTTGTATAAAAATAGATGGTGGAGGTGAAAAAAGAAATATTTTTATGATTTTTGCACCCGTCGCAGTTGTGAACCTTTAGTGCCTATGTACCACCTTTCATGCAATAGGGGATCAGGGTACACATAGTCCAACTTTAAAAATTTTAAAACACAAGTGTGTTGGTTAATTTTATGAGATAAGACATCATTGTGATTGTCCGTGTGGAAAACATACTTACTACCCACAATCATGAGAAAGGAGAATTTGCATCATCTCAAAGTGGAGGATATGGCTTGGATTTTAAAATCAACAATGCCTCACTCAACATCCAAGTGAAAAATATCTCACTTCACTACATGTTATAGAAGTATAGTTGTTTGCATCACTACAAGGATTGACACGAGTCCAATCTTTCTTGAGAAAAGTTTTAAAGGTAAAATTCCAAAGTGGCAAAATGGTTTTAATGAGATTGATTGGCTTTTAGTCTTCTCGCAAAAAATGTTAAGGTATGATTAAGTTGATTGAAGTTTATTTATGAAAATGTTTTTAAAATGCATGGACCTAAGTCCAAGTTTATTATAAAAGTGGTTCAAGGTTAGAAACAAGAAGAGTTTTTAAAAGGAGGGAGAAGATTTTTGAAATTAAAGAAGATGGGAGGAGATGAAGAGACTATCCTAGAGCATAAGATAAAACCTAGGAAGAGGAACCATCTAACCAACAAGAAGCCAATACTTGACATTATGAGTCAACATAGAAATCCCATTCTTTGGATTGAAACCAAACAAGGATACTAAACCTCTTGAGAAGACCAAACTTCAGATGCATTAAGTCTTCACAAAAATTGGGCAGAGTAACGGTTGTATACAGATGAATTCCAGATTACAGACAAAGTATGTAATCACAATAACCTGCACACAAAATAAACAAACAACCCAATTTCTTGAGGTAAACCTCAAGAACTCTAGACAAAATATCAATTAAGGTCACAAGGTCTCCAAAATAAGATCAAAGTTTCTATTCCTAAGTCCAAGAAGTCCAATACTCCATAATGCCAAGGATAGTAACCAAATAGTCCAAGTAAAATTAAAGTTTTTTATGGTTCATGTTGATTATTAAGTATCTTCAAAAGGAAAAGAAAAGCTCGAGTGAGCAAAATAAAAATGGCATAAAAGTAAATTCTCAAATTAGCAAAGATGAAAATAGCATGAAATGTAAATTCTAAAGTAAATAGTGTATAAAGTAAAGGGCATAAGATAAAAGCATAAGATAAAGTCAATTGTTAGAAGTTAATGGTTAGTTGGATGACCATCTTGAAACTTGAATTTGGAACTCATTAGAGGACTGGTAGTACCAAAGCCTCTCAAAAACAAGTTGCATTTGCTTTTTGTCAATTATATCATCCATTTAAGAATCCTCAAGGCAACATTTAATGATCAATGATGTTTAAGTGATCCGCATTGACCAAAATTGATGAAGATCCATTGAAATATTAGTAGAACCAAATACTCCTAACAATGAATCCTAAGGTTATTGGATCAAAAGGTTCAAATTAACATACTTGGACTTGCAAACATAGGTTTGGGCCACGAATAATCATTTTCTCAATTCAGGACAAAATTTAGCGCTACGTTAAGCAATCGTAAGTGGACTTATATAGAAGTCACACCTATTTTGAGGCCGGTCAATAGCAATTCATGTACTTCATGTTTGGATAAACGATATAGAGATCATTATCCCATAACATGTAGTACAATAAGAAAGGGGGATAAGATGAAGAGGGAAAGGAATTACAGTTTCAAATATCATCAACATCATTCATCCATTTTAGTGGATTTGGTTTATCAACCTATCAACACCCAAGACCCAATGAGGTTAAAGAATTTGGCCCCAAATAAGCCTCAAGTCAGTATCACATGCTATTTTAAGAATTAAACAAGAATCGTGTACAAGAGTTTTCAATTACAAGCATTGATCAAAGGTAAAACCCTAAATGCACACCTAAGTCAAAATTTAGTTTTACAATATGAACATAACTTGTGAAATTATAAAATTAAAACCCTAACTTCCTAAAGTTCTAAAAAAAGTCATAAATAAAATTTAGAGTTCCTAGATTGTGGTTGAAATTTGCTTTAGAAATGCAAACTTTGAAACTAGCAAGCAAAAGGCTTAAACTAGATTATTTTGGGAAATAATTTGTGAAAAATATGAAATCACATTGTAAAATTGCAGAAAAATGTTTTTTATGACCTCAACTTATTCAATCACTCTAAACAACTTCATCTCTGATTTTATAGGCATGGGAAGTTAGAAATTTAAATCAATTAGTGTGAATGATCAAGCAAAAACCCTAAAAAAGGAAATTAAGTTCAAAATAAATCATTTTGATCTAAATTTCAAATAAATTTGTTGTAAGATAACCTAAATGTCAATAAAATTCTAAGGATCATAAAGCATATTTCTTTTTGAATTTTATCTCAAAAGAAAAAATTAAATGAAAATTATTTACACAATTCACCCAAGAAAATAAAGAAAATATGATATGTCCAACATATGATTTAATTTGTAATCCAAAGGTTTTATAAAACAGGACAAAAAATATTTTCAAGTAACAAACTCAGAGAAGAGCCCAAAAATATTCTTTTAGGGACTTTTGATTTAATAGAAATAGGAAAATAAAATTCAAGACTCAAAATATTATTAAAAACCCTAATCATCTCCATTAACTTATTTAATGAAGAAAAATTATTAAAAAAATGAAATAAAATCAAAATATGAAATATATTGAAAAAGTGGTCTAAAATATTGTTATGATAATTTTTGAAGCGGAGAAAATATTAAAAGAAAATATTAGAAGAAACAAAAAAATAATTAAAATGCAAAGGCTATTACACCTGTTATTATCCAAATGCACTGTAAAAGAAAAGTGAGGCCATGTTCAATCAAACAGAGACACGTTATCATCCCTACCAACAGCCATATTGTTTTAATTTCCAGTTTTAAAATACTATCTTCAGATCACAATATCTCACGCATCCATTAATGAAAATAAAAAATTCCAACATCAAAGTTCAAGATGGAAATTAGTAGAACATGATACAATAAAAAATTTCATGTAATGATGCATTGATGATTGAAAAAAATGCGCGCGAATATTGATGCATGAACACGGTATTGACTTGAGCGTTTCATGAAATATATTTCTGATTTGGCTTTCTCCTTTAATTCTTCATCAAATCACTCGATCCAAAGTCAAAAATTGATCACCAAAATGCCATGAATATGAATATGCTACTGGATCTTTCCACAAGCTCATGGATTAAAGAAAAATGCAAATCTGCAGTATGAGGGAGAAAAATATGGATCAACTACCTTGCAATGAATTTGATGATGCTTGAGCTCAAATAATGAGAAAGGACTTGTGAGAAGCTTGAATGTTCAGAAATGATAGATGAAGAGAGATGCGAAGAAAATTTTTTTGTCAATGGAGGAAGTGAGCTTGAAATTCAAAGAGAGGGAGGATCAGTTTTGAGCTTGCAAGGATGGAGTTTGCTTCATGTGAGAGATAGATATGAGATCTTGCTTTTGATTTTATTCCTCCAACCCCTTTGATTGTTGAATGCACTTGCTTTATATAAAGTGAAGAATGAGAGAGTGAGAGAAATAAAGAAAATGAGAAGTAAGAGTGAGGTGCTGCATTTTATGTTGTTTGAGGGTGAAAAGCGTGCATTTTGAATAAGTGAGAGAGGTCGGGGTGTGCGTTGGTGAGCTGGCACTTGTTTGGAACAACAAAAATACGTGCATTCCCATGCAAGATTTCTATTTCATGATCATGCCTTTACCTCCTTATATCTCCCTCTATGGTGCATGAAATGTCACAAAGTTTGAATAAAAAATGGAGAGGACATTTCATACTCCAACTTTCATGTTCAAATTTTTTCAAAATGAAACTTGAATAAATGATAAAATTGGCTATGAACACATGCTTACAAACTTCTTGATGAAATGCCAGGCCTTACTGGGCATTCTGCGTGTGCGTGATGCCTTGTGTTGGGAAAAAGTTTAGCTCGCATGATACTTTCTTCTCTCAAATATATCTAAAAATGTAGGGAGAATTTTGAGAAACTTTATGAAGCAAAGTTGTTCCTCACATTTAGGGTTTGATCTTTGATGTTGTACATTTTCCAAAATAATGAATATTTCTCATAGAAAAGTGATGATGAATGTGTTCCCACTAACTGTTTGACAAAATGCCTGGCCTAGCACGCGTGACTTGCCTTGTGTTGGGCAAAATGACATTTTGAAGCGCAAAATCCTAATCACCATATATTTCTCTACACTTAACCATTTGACATGATTCTTGAATTAAAAATGAATAGAAAACTTCAATCTTCAACTTTTATGTTGCCAACTTTTTGATTTAAGTCCAAATGGTCATTCAAAATTGAACATGAAGAAGTCAGATTTTTGCATTTTTATCCAAAATTTCACTAAGCGTCAAAAACTTCCAAGCTCCATAACTTTTTTCTTTCATTTTTTGGACTTGTGACCTCTCCTTCAAAGTTGGAGAATTTTTCATCCTCTTTCTAGGCATATAAAGTTTTCATATTTTCAATAAAAGTTGAGAAAGTTATGGCCAATCAAAATTCAGCCCTATGAATACTTAAAAATTCCAAAAC